CATGTGATTACGTTAGTTCCAGTACAGACAAACATGTGTGCATACATAAGCAGGTCTGTGTGTACATACAGGCATGTATGAATACCATCTATAAGCAAACAATAATTTGTTGAATGTAATACAGAAATCTCTGGGAAATCGGGCACACATGAAAATGAAATCAGATTTTTCAGTTGTTTTTTGGCGGACTGCTTGGGCGCAGTGCGCTCTTGTTTATCAACGGTGTTCTAGAATCTAGATTAAAGGTAATGGCAATATTACGAGCATGTGTGTGTAAAAACTAAACTGCAAATTGTTTACGACAAAACAAAAGGCGGAGAACGACCGGGAAAGGCGAGAGGGAGAGCAGCAGAGTAGAGTAGAGTAGAGTAAAGAGCAACGAATTTCAATGGTGAAAATTGTTAAGCATAAGTATTTTAAAACCCAAACACAAGGCAAGAAAATTAGTCTCTCGACCGTCGGGTTTTTTCTATGCGGGGCCTCTGCCTGGCGAAAAGCGAATCGGACGGGCCAGTCGGCCCCGGACAATTTCAATGCACGGCTCGTGTACCGTACTGTTCCCGCGAATTGCGCTGCGCTGAAGATATTTATTTGTGAGGAAAGCATCGCAAAGAGCACTAAAGCACTGCTATATAAACGAGTATTCGATTGATTTTATTTCAATATAAAAGAAACACGAAGCAACGAAACACTTAACGAAAACTAACGAACCGCAGGGATCGCAGGAGTATTCGTATACGCGTCCGTGTATCCCCCTGGAAAGAACTTTTTTTTGGGTAGGGGAAATATGTAAGTAATTCCCGGATTACGGATTACGGATTTCGGATTTCGTAATTGCAGTCGAGTGCTGTGCTGGTCGAAAATTGATTTCGATATCGAAATAGTACTGCGAAAATTTATTGTTGTTGTTGTCTCTCTCCATCTCTTGTCCATTCCATTACTCGCCCCCACTCTCTCTTTTTTTGTTCTCTGGGAGAGCATCATATCATCTTATGTAATCTGAATGTGGTGGCAGTGGTTTATTGTCTTCTTGTCTAGAGTCTCGTCTCGTTTGCTTTTGCTGATATTTTTAGCACCTGTTGCACTGTGAAAACACCTGAGTATTGAACCGATCTCATGATCTTTTTCTCTCTCTCTCTCTCTCTCTCTCTCTCCTTGCCACCCGCAGTGTCGCTACCCGGCTCCGCACCTGGATCTGGAGCTGAGCAGCCGACCATTCTGCTGATCAACGGCGTCGCCAACGACTCCCAACTGCAGGACAGGCAGAGCAAGGCCGCCGCCCTGAGGTTGGCCCTCGAGAGCAACAACCACCACAGTGAAGCCAACTCCTCGCTGGGCAGCCATCCCGTGCTGTCAGTGCCCACCACTCCGGGAGGGTCGCATCTGCTGGACTTTGAGTCCCACCTCATCGAGAACGTTGTGGGCCAGGGCAGCGGAGTGGGCATCAGGGAGCTGACGCCCTTTGAGCAAGAGCTGCAGCAGGGCACATCCAAGGTCGGGACAGACGATGCCGCGTCTGTAATCGAGGTGGAACCAGCCGGGGCCAAGACCAAGCAGGCCATTCAGACTCTAGCGCCGCCGCATCAAATCGCCGAGGTAGACGAGACGGCCACCCCGTCGGAGGCAGTGCGTCGGACCGCCGAGCAGCTGGTCGATGAGATCGAGCAGGCCCTGCAACAAATCCCCAAGGTAGAAGAGACGGCCCCCCCTTCGGAGCTAGTGCGTCGAACCGCCGAGCAGCTGGTGGATGAGATCGAGCGCGAGCTTATTGAAACCCTGAGCAAAGATGTAGACGAGGCCAAGACTGAGCACGACAATCAGGCGAAGCGCGATCGCGACGAGCTCAGCTCGCTATCCCAGCAGGTGGAGGTGCAGCTGAACGAGCTGACCAGCATCCTCAAGAACAAGCCGCAGGCGGAGATTGTGTTGGAGCTGCCGGAGGCAGAGGAGGAGCCCAGGCCACTGAGACACGCAGCCAACGAGCTAAAGCTCGTGGAGGTGCCCACGCCCAAGACCGAGGCCGAGGAACAGCAGCGGAAGGAGTTCATTGACTCGCTGCCACAAATCGAACAGAACGCGGCAGGGGAGACCGAGACGGATGCCCAACGACTCTCAGCGGACTGCAAAAGGGAGTATTATCAGTCGCTGAAGAAGTATCTGCTGTACAGCAGCCAGGACAAGCCGCCAATTCCGCTCCAGACCTATCGCTGGGAGGATCTTCGACGAGCCAGAGAGCGGGTAAGTGGCCTCACCAACCAGTCCTCCTTCTTTTGTCTGATCCGTGTTCCTCCCGCAGGGCGGCTATCCGTGGACGCATCTGTACAAGCGTCCCCTGGGACCCGACGAGCAGCCGGAGATTGTGCTGCTCCTGCGCAAGTCCCAGGAGCTGCGATTCAAGTCCGAATCGCCCAAGTCCCTGAAGAAGGTGCGCTACGACGAGCAGGTGCTGGTCAAGGAGACCGAGCGCTATATACAGGACCTTTCCGAGGACGAGGCGCTAGCCCACACCTCCGAGGACAGCAGCGAGGAGTCCGACTCGGAGGCCGATTCCGAGTCAGAGCACGAGACCCACAACGAAGACGCCCTCAGCGAGTGCATCTCCTGTGTTTCCGACTCTGTGCTCGCCGTCGGCGGCCACAACAAGCCGCGCAAGACCAGTCGCCTGGCCCACATCCGCGACATCATCCGGCGCAGGCGCAGCGGACGCACCCACGAGGACGCCCAGTCACTGCCAGGCACCTCTGCCAATCCCAGCCGGCAGAACAGCCTCCACGAACTAGCCCCGCCGCCGGGATCTCTTATCCCGAATACAGAGAAGCCCCCGAAGAGCTCCAAACCGAAGGCCAAGCAGAGCTTCGACATCATGAAGAAGCTAAAGAGTCTGGCCGAGAGGCAGAAGAAGCGCCTGAACATCAAGCGCATCACCCTGAAGAAGGACGAGAAGATCGTCCTGGGCGAGCAGCAGAAGATCATGAAGCTGAAGGCCTCGCCCAAGTCGGACCGCGGTGAGATTCCGCACTTTATCGAAAAGCAGGACTCGGACGACATCCTCGAGCTGGTCGAGTACGATGAGTCGCCCTGTCGCAAGCGCAACAAGGAGGAGCTCGAGCAGGAGCAGCGCGAGGATATGCCCAGCACCAGTGCGGCAGCAGGGAGTGTCCCCCAGCCGGATGAGATCATTGAGCTGCCCGTGGCAAAGACTGAGATCGATGCACCCGCTCTGGAGGTCACAGAGCCGCAGGAGGAGAAAATTGAAGATGGGACAACTGCGGATGGCGATGGCACAGAGTCTCCTCCCAAGAAGACCCCACGACTCCGTCGCGAGCATGTCTATGAGGAGATTGGCCACCAAACACCCGAACTGGTGGATCAGCAGTCCATCATTGAGCTGGACGCCCTCAAAAAGTCGCTGACGCGTCAGGACCATCTGGCCATCGATGACATTGAGGCCGCCAAGGCAGTACCCCTGGATCGCATGGGCAGCAGTGAGGAGGAGCAGGTGGCCTCGGCGGTTGCCGGTTCCGGCAAGTCTGGTGCCCTCCTGGCCCCGCTCTCCTCCATAGACTCCACCTCGTCGGACGAGGAGCGAGCCCGCCTGGCACAGCTGTCGCCCGTGGCCGAGGAGAGCGACATCGAGTCGATGGAGGTCGCCGACCTGCGTCCCGCGCTCAAGAAGGAAGCCTCGCCAGCGCCTTCGGACAAGAAGGTGACCTTCTCGCATGTGGAAGACGAGGCCGAGCCCCATCGCGAGGACATCGAGCTGCCCGAAGACGTGCTAGAGGCAGCCGCCAATGCGGCCAAATGGAAGAGCGAGAGGTAAGTGATGGACCAATCCCCAGAGGCATCCCCAAACGCCTGACACTAACACTCGGCACCAACCTTCCAACCAATCCAAACGGTTCTGCTGTTGCTCTAACCCAATCTTGCAGAGAGTCTAACCTGTTTGCCCTGCTCATGAAACTGTTACTAACCCTCTTGCCGGGAGGTGGCCAGCGCAGACGCTTTCGAAATCGAAACCGAAATCGAGATCGAGGCACCACCAAACACACGAATGCACCAGCACCACAGTACTACCAAGACTACCACTACCACTACACAGACCACACCACAACAAACCCAATACCAGTAGCAGTACCAATCCGCAAACACAGATCCTCTTGGTGGAGAGGTCCTTCCCGCTGGACACTCTGCTGCTGCTGCAGCGGCGGTGATACTAACAAGTTTTGGTAGAGGGCTCCCAATGAAGGTGGCTTTTATGATATAGACCTAAGGTAAGGCCTCCATGTACTGTGTGCCGTCCGTCTCCGCCCCCCCCACTTGTTGTTGTTGTCCCGCAAATGTTGGTGTTGGTTCCAATAAATGAATGAATTTCCTGAGGTGAAAGGGGGGGTTGGGTTGCATAACTGGGATAAGCCATACACACACACATATATAAACCATAAATCATATAAAAACTACGTACTTTTAAAGCTGGAGACCACGCCTCTAAATGAAACATATGTATGTACATATGTAGCTCCGTATCTGGATAAGTCCGACATCTAAACATCGAATGGTGATCGATTGGGATTATGTGTACGTACAGTGTGTACAGTATATTTAGAGATCTAAAGGTCAACGAATGACAAGAAGATTTCCGGCAGGCAGAGCAGAGGCAGCCTCTAAAATAGAACATGAAAGTGCAGAACAGAACTACAAAACTAATTGCTGCGGCTATGTACTCCTCCTGCTGTCTGTCTGCATGTCTGATCAGGCCACAGTATGACAGAACAAGAGTATAACAGTATAACAGTACAAAAGTACAACAGTATGGCAAACACACAAATGCAATTGCCTAATCCGTCATCGCGTAGTCGTGTCTGTGCGTGCGTGTCTGTTCATGTCTCGATTCGTGTTTGTGTCTGTGTTTTTGCTAATTTTAAAAGAAGAAAAAAACATTTTCATCTTTCGAACAAGAATTTTCGCTGAGGAAAATCTGTGTCGCGCAAAAACCAAAAAGCTCTCAGTCCTGGCCGAAAATCGCAACGATGTAGACACGGTCGCGTCGCGTCGCACAAACCACACACCACACCACACCACACCACAGAACGGGACCCACCGCAAAACAGCATAAAAATCGAGAGAATCTCTCAATAACAGTACCCCCAAAACGTGAATTCCATTCAGAAAGGTCACCCGCCCCAAAGGGTGGATGGTTCTTAGCCCTGAAGTAAAGTTCGGAGCTCTGGTTGCAAGTGCCACAAAATTCCTCAGAGGCTGGGCAAAGAATTTTTGAGCTGATTCGGGCAGAAAATAAATTCAATGTCCAACGGCGGCGCTGGCTCATGCTCTGGTGGTGCTTAAAAATAGCCACCGACCACCACGAACGACGACAAGACGACAAAAGCGAACAAAAAATAAACGAATAAAAGACACAAAAAGTACGAGAGGAGGAGGAGCAGCGGACAGAGGGACGGATACGGATTCCGACCGGGGGCCAAGTGAATAAGTAACCAGCAACAGCTGTCATTTCACTCTCTCTCTCTCTCACTCGGAGATCATGCTAAATTCCCGCCGCTCGGCCTCGGTGGGCGCTCTGCCCGCCGAGAAGAAGCACTTTGTGTCGCGGGTGGAGAGTGCCAGCGGCGCCTCCCTGGACGTGCGCTGTGCCTGCCAGTACTTTCAGTCCGAGTCCCTGCTGCCGGAGCGCATAAATCCCGTGGATTCGCGGCCAGGCTCACGGCAGGGCCACCACAGCGACCAGGACCAGTTCCTGCACCTGAATCAGAATGTAAATCTGAACACCAGTTTCCCCCGCGACGATATGTCCACGCACAGTTTTGAGGTCGTGAGTCATGCGGATGTGGCTGCCCCATCGGTGGATCTGAGCTTCATGGAACGTTATCCGGAGCTGGAGCAGACGGCCCGTTCCCGGGGACTGGTGGTGCGCAGCATTTCGGATGCCACCGAACCGGATCCAGGTGGAACATCCTTCATGGCCGCAGGCCGACGACAGCTGTCGATGGGCGGCCTGTCGTCGGGCAGCGTTGGACGTTTCCCCGACACCGTGTCCATGCGCAGTGGCACCTCGCTGCGTCGCATTTCGGCGGGCAACTCCAAAATGGACCTCTACTGTGCTGACATTAATATACCGAACGCTCCTGGAACCGGACGTCAGGGTGGCCAGCGTTCGGCCAGCGCCAGTCGACGAGCCTCCAATGCGGATCTCTTCCAGGCCACCATTCTGCCGGGATCGCTGCAGCCGCCCCAACTGAATCTGATTGCGGCCACCCCCAGTCCCGGGCTGGCCGATCAGCAGCCACTGTTTCCCTCGCACCAGGCGTCTCCAGCTCCCTCGCAGCAGGACTTCCGCAATGCCAGGCCTCCGTTGTCGCCGGATTACATGCGTCCAAGCGATGCCAACAAGGAGAACCAGCTGCCCGGCGACGTGCTGCCCCAGAATCGACCCATCGACGTGTCCCGCTTTGGCGGCGATGCAGTACGTCCCTCGTTCCTCCTGGAATCGGATTTCCAGCAGATAAAGAGTCCCTATCAGAACACCACGGTCACCACGCCCATGGATCCCCTGGCCGAGGCTGTGGCCGAGTTAGAGCAGATTGCGCAGGAGCACAACATCGTGCACATCCGGGACAACATCCAGACGGAGACGCGGCGACCGCCCTCCATTGGGGGAGACCTGAGTGCAGCACCCCTGAAGCTGGACGAGCTGACGAAGATCGAGATCATCAGCGACATGCCAGTGGTGGATATCGATGCGCTGGTGCGCCATGAGGAACAGAAGGCGGCGGAGCACCGTAGCCGCAGTCCAAGACCCTCGCCCAGGCAGCCCAAGGCGCCGCCAGTGATGGCCACCCTCAAGCTGCCTTCGAGCCGGCCATCGAGTCCGTCTCCAGCGGAGCCATCCCTTCCTTTGCAACCCCTCAAGCGGCAGCACACGCCAGAGAGGCAGCTTTCCCCGGAACGTCCCTCCAAGTGGGCACCCGCTTCTCCCACGCCACAGCAGCAGACGATCCAGGCAACCACGGCAGCCATCAACCTGCAGGATGCCTCTCCCGAGGTCAAGAGCTCCTACACCTCCCGCTTCAAGGCGATGTTCGCTGCCAAGGAGCCACGTCAGAAGTCCCCGACGCCCCAGCGCTCTCGCACTCCCAGTCCCAAACGGGAGAGGACGCCCTCTCTCTCTCTCTTCTCCCGCGAGAAGTCGCCATCGCCCGTAAAGATGCTCTCGGTGTTCTCCAAGGGCAAGCCGCAGGCCATGTCCATTGTAACCACCTCGGGTGCCGCGATGAAGGGCAAAGAGGCGGAGCCGCTGGCTGTGCGTGTCACGGAGACCTTCTCCCTGAAGGTGGACGAAATGGACCAGTACGGCTCGCGGCCAGCAAAGCCACCGGCTCCTCCGACGCACGCCCAGACCATGTACAACAGTCGCGAGGACTTTGGGGCGGCATCCTCGGAGCGGGCTTCGGTGGACATCAGCGAGGCCTTTGCTCCGGTGGTGGTGTCTGCCCTGCCACGCGGCGGCAGTGGGAGCGTGAGCATGAGCGGCGGCAGCTTCATGGCTGGCAATAGGAATCTCTACTCCAGCGAGATCGAGATGCCGGACACGGCCTCCTGGGGAGCCAGCAGGGAACCCTCGCAGACCGGCGGCAGTCGTCCGCTCATCTCGGTGCCCATACAGATATCCGACAGCCACGTTTATCGACCCCTGCGGTCGCCCTCAGAGCAACGGTTTGGGGTGCAGCGCAAGTCCTCGTTCCGGGAGCCTCGCACCCAGTCGCACGACCGCGCCCCCCGCCTTAGCAGCGGCTCCCAGGAGCAGCTGTACGGGGCGGGGCGGGGCATGACAAAGACGGTTAGTTTCCATTTTGACGAACGCAAGTCGCGCCTTGCGGATTTCGCCTCCGCAAGCGAATCGCCCCTGACCCAAAACCAAATCGAACACAGAGAGTTCCTCGAACGGACCTACTTCTCTCGGTAAGCCATCTATGCCACCCTATGTGCGGCCTAGAACCCCGACCTCTCGGCACCACCGCCACAACCACCTCACCACCACACACCTTCCACACCGGGTGACGGCCTCCTGCTAACCTTCGCTTGTCACTACTCCACACAGATCTCCTTCCTTCGTTCCAGTCTACTAATCCATGTGCTCTCTCTCTCCCTTTCTCTTCTTGCAGTGATCATGAATACGAGCCCGTGGGCGTGTCGCCGGCACACGAATCCTCGCCAGCGCCAGCGCTAGTGCCAGCGCACGCCCTCTCTGAGCTGCAGGTGCCGATGGACATCGACAGCTCGGCAGGAACAACGCCCCGAACCGAATCTCGCACCGACTACGAAATACACACCAGCCAGGTGGACTCGAGCGCCCTCGAGGAGCTGCCGCTGCAGCCGGAGAACCGCAAGAAGAGCTTCATGGCCAGCGCCCAGGACCGCACCAAGAAGATGCAGGACGGTCTGCGACAGCAGGCGGGAAAGCTGCGCACCAAGCTCCGCAGCAGCCAGCAGGCCAAACCCAAGCCGATCTCGGGCAGTCCCAAGGCCAAGGCCAAGGAACGCAGGCGCTTCAAGGCGCCCGAATTCTCCAAAATGAAGATGCCCGAGATCAAGCGACCCGACATGTCCAAGTTCAGGGACCTCAAGCGACCGGAATTCACAAAATTCAACAAACCGGACATGTCCAAATTCAAACTGCCGGAGAAGTTCTCCACGCTGAAGCTGCGACGCAGCAAGAGCTTCAAAGAGAACGAGAGCGAGCTCACGTCCGAGGAGCCACAGGCCACCAGTGCAGAGGCAGGAGGAGGGGTCGACGCCCCTGCTCAGCCTGCGCCCAAGAAGAAATTCGAGTTCAACTTTGGCACCTATCCACGCGCCTTCCGCAAAAAGAAGCCCACAGAGGAGCCACCACCACCGCCCGCTCTGGAGTCGTCGCTGGGCACAGAGGGTCTGAGCGTGATCCCCAGCACCGAGACGCAACCGTCGCAGACCTCCACAAGCTCCCCGCAAGGAGATCGTGGACCTGGTCCGGTGCGATCCCGCTGGGCGGACAAGTTCTCGGATGTAAGCTATAACGACAGCGAGGGATCGCGGTACAGGCGCTACGGCAGCGAGCTAGAGAGCTTCGACCGCGAGTCCTCACTGGAGCGACGCATGAAGGAGGATCTGGAGGGGGCCGAGGACACGGCCAGCGAGGCCCAGCAGCCCCAGACGATGGGAATTCTGGGCGTGGTGGCCGACAGCAAACAGTTTGCGGAGTTCGATGAGGAGAACCGGGCCATCCACGAGATCTCCAGCAAGCGGTCGCGCGAGTTCAAGCGGCGCCCGATGGTGCATCAGGACTCCGATTTGCGCTCGGAGGACAGTCGCGATGCCGAGGGCTGGACCGAGAAGGACATACAGAAGAATAAGCTGCTGCGCAAGGCGGAGCTAGAGGCGGAGGCTGGCTACCACAAGTACTACGACAGCCACTCCACGGCCAGTTCAGGCAAGAAGGTGGTAATGGAGCCCATCGACGACGACGAGTTCTTCCTGCGCAAGCGCGGCATCTCCGAGGATAACATCCAGCTGCGGCAGTACATAAGCGCCGCCATTCGCGAGGGTTACGACACGCCCAATGCCCTCCAGCATGTAGGCTACTCCGCAGATCCTGTCCCCGGCGAGTACGGAGACTTCGAGGCACCGCCGGCAAAGCCCCGGCGCCTGCATCGCAACTACCGGCCGGACATTGACGACTCGCAGGAGTTCCAGCGCAGCGACTACGGCGACGATCTGTCCATGTCCCAGAATGGCAGTGACTTCACCCCTAAGAGACCTCTGCGCAAGGCTCGCAGCCGAAGCCGCAGCAAGCTATCCGTGGACGGGAGCCAGGACATGCACATGGCCGATGGGGGCAGCAGCATCCAGTACTTTGACGACGATGAGGAGTACCTCAGGCCACCGATGCGGGATCAGCAGATAACCGAATTGGAGAAGGAAACAGCGGCAATGGAGAAGGCAGGACCACAGGCCCTACCGCTGGCGCCGAGGCGCCACAAGAAACGCACACGCGATGATGCATCCGTTGAGAAGGATGCGGACTCGTTCTTTAATGGCTTTGGTGGTAGATCAGTATCGAATACCTTTTTGCAGCCACACGAAGATGTGAGTACCAAGCAGAGATCTGGAACTACTTTGAAGGTAGCGGAATCCATCTCTAGTCCATTCTAACCTTTGCCCATTCCCATTCTGATTCCCAGGTAATTGTTTATCGCACTGAGCACGAATATCGTCACATACCGCTAGCCACGCCCGACAACTTCACGGATGGAGCGTCCGTGCGTACACCCCGCTCCGAGGACGACAGGACATCGCGCGGTGCGGACTCCCTGGTCCTGGACATGAAGACAAAGCCCGAAATGGGGGAGGACAACGAGGAAGGAGTATCCAGAACCAAGAGCGACGAGAGGTTCGTCATCGACATGTTGGAGAGCGACGGGTGAGCATTACTAGACCTAGAGATCTGTCACGGATGTTCCGCTAGGTGTGGCTTTCTTGCTCGCTTCCTTCTAGCTATGCGGTGGTGCGCAAGGAGCCCCTGCCCAAGCCCACGCCCCCAGCGCGCAGGAAGAAGTTCACCAGATCGCCCGGCGAGCGATTCGCGACGCTACCCAGCATCCGCGGCTCACGCGGATCCCCACCACCGGCCCGGCCACCGCCGCCACAGCAGTATATACCCATGGAGGACTCGCCGCTGGTGCCACGCCGCAGATCGGCGGCCAGTCTGGACGAGATCCCCCAGATGATGATCAAGTCGAAGTAAGAGAAGCAGCCCGTCGGCCGAGTCGCCTTTTGTTGCCTTTTGAGTTGCGATGGCCGACCTTTCGATTGATTTTTACTTTGACTTTCGTTTCGTTTCGAATGCGTTTTCGTTAAGTTTTTCTGTTAAGTTTTCATTTCTGTTGTTGCCACTAAGTTGTAGGCTAAGCTTAGACTAAGACCAAGGGTTAGACGCACAGCTAATGCTACTCCTGCTGCTTTTGCTACTGCTACTAATCTGATCCGAATCGAATCGAATCGATTGCACTCCGGAATCCACGTACTCGTACACCCAAATAAAACATGAATACACGATACACACGAATCCACTTGCAACACACGAGTTGGCCAGCATCCTGTTGCCTTTTTTGCCTTTTGTCGATTGCACGGAAGCCCAAGCCCAAGCCCCAAGATGTATCTAATGCACCTCCCTCCAACCTTTTCCCCCAGCTACGAGACCCAGCCGCAGAAGCAGCAGCAGCCCGAGAAGCAACAGGCACAGCAGCAGCAGGAGGAGGATGACTACGAGGAGCCTGGAACCCTAGAGCGTCCCGAATCCCCACGCTCCAATCTCCAGTCTGGCGAGGTCATCAACAAAATGAAGTTCCGACCACTGCCGGCGCCACCGCGTCCACCGCGCGAGAAGCGCTCCACGCGTGCTGGCAGCAATGCCCTCGACAGCTACGAGGACAGCGAACAGGTGGCCAGCTCCAGCCAAGCGGACAGCTACGACCAGGGGGAGTTCGAGGTGGAGGTGTCCACACAGACGGACCCGCTGCCCGACGACTTTGTGTGCGAGGAGTTCGAGATCACCGAGGACATGAAGATCATTGAGCCTCGACGAGCCAACGCCAAGGGATCCGACGGATCGGCCAGCAAGACCCTCGAGGATCTGCTGCGTAGCGTCGAGACGCAGGAGCCCCAGGACGAGGTGGACGGCGTGCGTGTGCTAACAGAGGACGAGCAGTTGGCCAAGGGCCTGCAGCGCTTCAGGGATGCCAATCAACGGAGCATGTCGGAGCGCTCGCGGGCCTCCTCTCAGGCGGACCGTTCCAAGTCTCTGAGTCGTCCCCAGACGCCGTCCTCGGCGGTGGTTATCGAGCGACGCGTCCCCACGCCCAGTCTGGTGGCTGGCGAGGAGCAGGATGCCACTGTTCAAGCCTCGCTGATAGTGCGACCCATCAGTGCCGCCGATCTGGCGGATGACGAGCTTCGGCGCGAGGAGGAGGAGCTGCGACGGGAGGGTCTGCTCTCGGACAGCTCGGTACAGAGCAAATCCGATGTGGAGGAAGAGGAGCACGGAGAGGTGGCCTTGAGCGACTATGCGGCCAGTTCAGCGGATCTGGATGCGGCGGTGGAGCAGCTGCAGCAGGCCCAGCTGGAAAGCGACTACGAGAGCCGGCTGGAGGACGACGAGGTAGAGCGTACCCTGAGGGACAGCGAGTACGAGGAGGAGGAGGATGCCGGAGAGAAGTACTCGGATCAGTATGACGAGGAGGAAGAGGAAGATGAAGAAGCACGGCTGGTGAGGGAGCTCAGGGAGCAGGAACTGGACGAGGCCCTCGAAAAGGAGCTGCAGGAGGCCATGGAAAAGGAGCTGTCCGACTACAGGCAAAAGGAGAAGGGCACGCTGTCGGAGGAAGAGGAACACGCTGCCTCCGAGATCGAGTACCGACACTCTGAAGATGAGGAGAAACCACAATCTGAGACAGAAACCATTGCCGTGGAGATACCCATCCGGAAGACCACCGCCAGCGAACCCACCGAGGCCGAAGTTACGCCCAAATTTGTGGCCACTCTGCCCACCGAACCCGCCTACGGCCACGACGAACTGGATGTCGAGGAGCCGGAAGATATGCCCCTGCCACCGCCACGTCGCAAGTCAACCACAGCCCTCGAGCCCCCCACCGTAGCAGCAGCAGCCACCACTCTGACGATTGCCGAGCAATCAGCCCGCGAGCTCACGCCAATCCAGTCCCTGCAATCCCCGCCAGAGCCGCAGCTTCCCACTCGCCTGGCCGAGCTGGAGGTGGAGCGACTACGTGTCCATGCCCTGCAAGCGGGGCAGATCCAAGTCTCGCAGCTGCACGGCAGCCACATCAAAGCAGACGATCTGGAGTGCAAGTCCGGGCAACTAGTGGTCCAAAACATTGAACTACCGCCGGGCTTCATCGACGACATAGTGGAGCGCGTGCGGGAGCAGCGACCCTCGCTACTTACCACCGAGACGCAGACTAGCCGCCAGGCCAGCAGCGAGCCGGCCACCTCGGATGTGGAACAGCCCGTGAAGCCGCCGCGCCAGAGCAAGGCCACCGAGCAGTCGCCTCCGAATTTAGACGAACAGACCCAGACAGAAGCCGGGTTGATGCCACTGCCACCGCCACCAGCGGCATATCCCAGTGTGGAGTACTTGCAGTCCCTGGCACCGTTGGCCTTCTATAATCTCCAGCGCAGCGCTGAGGCCGAGCAGGCCGAGGCTGCAGCGCCAGAGCGCAAGGCGCCGCACAAGTGCCGACGTCGCCATGTCCAAGAGCAGGCCGATGCCGAGTCGGGCTCTGAGCTGGAAGATCAGCTGGTGGAAAGACCACGCTCACGCTCCTCGCGCCGCTCGCGCACCAGAAGCGCCACTCAGCCAGTAGAGGAGTACGACGAGGATCAGCCCCGGACAGTGGTGCAGGCCGGAAGGCAGTTCCTATCCGCCTGCAGCCTGGAGCTGGTGAACATCATCAACCAGCTGACCCACTACGTGCGCGGAGAGGCCATGGAGCCGCAGCAGCAGCAACAGTCGAGGAACATATCCGCCCTCATGGTGCTCTTCATTCTGATCACGTTCGGAGTGCTCGTCTTTCTGCTGACCGGTCGACAGGTGCACACACATCACTGGGACTACTTCAATCCACCCGGGAACGAGGGCAGGCAGACGTGAGAGCAGTGGAGATCGATATCCCATTAACCGTGGGCTTGTCACGAACACTATCCTTGGGGGGAGTGGGGCGGGTTTGCATTTTGCATTTTGGAGCAGAGAATTTTTGCTAAATGGGTGAAAACAAACGAATTTAAACGCGGCCAAGAGCCCGCTCGAAACTAGAAGGCCTTAATGATATACATACTAACAAAAAGAGAACTAGCAACTACTTTAGGAGAGGTGCGATGATGGCGAGGGGCGTTGCCCCCGTGCTACTACTAGTCACAGAACAATCGAAACCCGGAATCCCAGTTCAACAGACACTGACGGCACATGCCCGTGCTACACCATAAACCATGAATCTTGTACTAACTATAAAGAGAACTACTATCTATAAAGGGAATAATTTTTCATCATTGTCTACCAGTGCAGCAGAACAGAACAACAGAACAACAAGAACCAGAACCAGAACCAGCAGAAGCAACGATTATGTATTAATTATGTACTTAACACACATGCTATGTATGTACATAGACTATTTTTTTTGGTGGCTGCCTTATGATATGGTGGGGCGGCGGCAGCAGCCCTAAACGCAAGGAAATAATTGGAAGAGAACTAATCTAATAACAATGTTTTTTTTTTTCTACCAGCGGCAGGGCGATGGAGCGAAAGAGATTCAATTGTTGGATTCAAATTGTTGTTTAATCTAGACCAAAGTGTAGGAATTAATATATATAAAACAAAAAAAAATTATTTTTTTCATTGAATATCACTTAAAAGTTATAATTTGAAATGCGAATACTTTGCCGAGGAGGAGAGCAGAGAAGAGGAGAGAACGTATATACTTAAATATATAGAAGCGTATTTTCAATAAAGCAAAATGATATACACATAAGTGGTGGTGCTTTTGGTTTGTTATTCGATAAAGATATATTCCGACTTAGAGCAAGAAATCATCATTGTATTTAACCATTTCACGATGATCTTTGTGGCTTCCTTTTTGCGATTTGCTGGCGGCTGAACGAACGGGCACAAGTATATTAGGAGATTTAAAATGCAACATACAACATACACTTACCAATGGACGACCAGACTGCGGATGAGGAGGCATCGTTGATGGGTTCGATTTGCGGCTGGCGTCGAGCCAGTTGCACCTGCAGCACAATGCCAGTGACGTTCTTGCCATGCATCTCGGCTATGGCGCGATCTGCCGACTCTGGTTTGGCAAAGGAGACAAAGCCGCGGCTGCAAAGAGATTTCACAATGATCTATTTATCCAAATCCAAAAGAAATGATCTAATTTGTACCTTTTTTCAATCTCCATTGACACATTCACAATTGTGCCATAATCGTTGAAGGTTTTCTTCAGGAAATCTTCGGTTACCTTGTTGCCCGACACAAATATGGTATTGCCAGCGCGTGGCTTCTCCGGTGGCGGCGTATCAATAGCAGCTGCCTTCTCAGCCATGACGCGTTCTTCACGGTCACGCTCAGTGGCAAAATGCTGATACAAGTTCTGGCGCCGTGGCTCCTCCTTGATAATCTCGCTGATAATGGTCTCCTGGGCCACATCGTTTTGAGTTGAGGAGAATGGCTGGTAGGACGCCACAGTGGTCTCCGATGTGGAGCGTTTCGCACGCTCCTGACCTTTTGGACGCTTGAACGACGTTTGATCCTGCTTTGTTTGCTGTTTCTGGATCGCTGGAATGGCGCCGCTCTTGATCAGCTTGCGGGCCACCTCGCGGGCATCGCGCGCATCCGTGGGTCGTTTTAGCGTCAACGAACTCTCCGGCTCCGGCTTGGGTGCTTTATGAGCCTGGAGTGCCTTTTTCTGCAAACGAAAAATATTACATTAGACAAAAATCAGGCGGGAAATCATTTTATTTGGGACTGCTGCGGCGTCCCACCTTCTTCTTGAGCTTCTGATATTTTGCCTGAAGCATCTGCTCCTCCTCAGTTAGATTGTTAGGAAAGTGAATGTAAACCATTTTAGCATCGTCTGCTTCTGTTTACTGCACTATTTTTGTTGTTTTCTATTCACTTTTCAATAAAGTTATTCCGAAATTTGTGATTTTGTTTGCCACCAGTGTGACCATCAAAAAAATACCGAAATACTGTCCCATTTTCAAAATATAAGCCCAGTGCTCAGAAATGCATAATTTTTCATTGACCGAATCAGGGATGAAATTCGTATGGAAACGATAAAAATCCATGCTTGTGTTACGTTTGATAAAAACAATTTCAGTAGACTTTTTGCAGACTTTCCTGCTTACTTTCACACGAAATTGGAATTTTTACTGATTTTATTTGTTGGTAAACACGAAACAGTGTAACCGTATAGCATGTGGACCTGGTCACACTCTGCCGCGCGCAAATTACATGACCAAATTTTTTGACATAATATTTTGTCGATCTGAATACCAGACGAAACAGTAAATATACCGACGAAAAACCATTTCATAAAATTATAATAATATTCTTAATTAACGTAACAAGACAAAAGTCAACGAAATCGTTATTTTAGTTGGTTCGATTTTGTTTTCTCTCTAGGTTACACACCTTGCAAGTAATATCGGATACGCGATATTTGTATTGGTTTTAGTATATTTCAAAACGAGGGGACGATATTTTTATGTTTTCTAGCATATTTTAGTATTTTCCAATATTTTTTTAGACGCGTTATGGACTTACCTCGCTGTGATAATACACCGATGTAGAAATGATGTATAACTGATGTACATTTTTTTGTTTTAAACCCACTTTATAAGCAATTCAATAAAAAGAGTGTGCCTTAATTTAAACAGTCCCTAGAAAATGTATTGATTTTTCGTATAAAAATATATGCACAGTACTGAGTGTCTTAGCTAGCTAGTAATATGAAATGGAATTTTAAAATCGTGGAATGTAATTTCCGTTCGCTGCAGTCAACAGTTCATCTTGGCGGGCTCCTTCATGAAGCATGCCGCGTTTCCTTAGCGTGACCATATTAAGCAAGGCTAATAATACGGCGATAACTTTGTAGAAGGCAACTAGTGTTGCAAATTGTTGGCAGAAATAATGCAACTCTGTGTGGTTTTCAGCCCTCACGCCATGTTGTCGTCGAGCTGTCAAAAATGTTCTTTCCTTCTCTTTCTTTCCGGTTAGCGTCATGGTAAGATTTAACAAAGTTTTTTCCGAGTCGGTTGAAAAATGTAAAATTTATAAAGTGCAAAACTCGCGCGACTAATAAAACATTGCACAAAAGTGAAGTGGCCAGTACGTTGATTTAATTCACGTAAAAACAACCTTCAACGCTGAAATATGGTGCGAAATAAATGCGTTTTACCATTTTCACGTGGTGGCGCACACCAACACAAGCAACGCGCTGGCCAGCATATACAGAAATAATTTTTTTTTTTTTTTTCGAGTGTTTCATATATTTCTCTGATTGCAGCCTTTCGAGAGATTCGTACAAACTGGTCGCATTGCCAAGGCCTCGGCCGGCCCCTTGAAGGGTCGCCTGGTGGCCATTGTCGACGTCATTGACCAAAACAGAGTAAGTGGCGACAGCCCGTGGTGGCAGAAGTCGAGCAGAAGCAGCAACAACAACAACAGGCGCGGCGCCCTTGCCTCTTGCACATGATGATAATTTGTCTTCTTGATAGGAAGTGCCAACTGACACATAAATGAAGCTAGTTTAACCCACTGAAAGCAAGCATGCAAGCGCCGCGACGCGACGCCGATTTTGTTGCTGCCGATGCGTCAACTCCAACCTAAAAACAACACAACTGAGCATGTTCTTCTCTTTTAGGTTTTGGTTGATGGTCCTTTGACCGGTGTTCCACGTCAGGAATACAGATTGAACAATCTGCATCTGACCAAATACCGCATTAAGTTCCCATTCACCGCGCCCACGCGCATTGTGCGCAAGGCCTGGACTGAGAGCGACCTGAAGGCCCAGTGGAAGGTCAGCCCCTGGTCCGTCAAGGCACAAAACATTTGCAAGGTGTGTATATGTAAATGGTTGTGGTGGATATTAATTGTATTATCGATTTCTGCACATGATGATAATTGAAAGTTCTTGATAGGAATTGCCGGCTGATACATACATGAAGCTAGCTCTGTTTCTAACTGATCGCAGTCTAAGATAATCAATCCCCCACTCTTGTATCTCTGTGTTGTACTGGTACTAATCTTGTCCATTTTAATCTCTTGCAGCGCTCACAATTGAACGATTTTGACCGCTTCAAGCTGCGTTATGCCAAGCGCCAGCGCAACAAGCTGCTGACCATTGCCTTCAACACACTGAAGAAGCGCACCAAGTCCGACGGTACTCCACGCATCCTGAAGAAGGATCGCCGTGAGCGTCTGCGTGCCGAGAAGGCCAAGGGTGGCAAGAAGGCAGCGGCCAAGAAGTAAACAATAAATTAACGAAAGTAACTGCTTGATGAACATCCACCACAATGGAGAAAATAAAAGAAAGTGTTATTTTTAGGAAAAACACGCACGTGGCCGAGTTTTCTTTTGCGTTGTTTTGGGGAAGCGGAAGACGCCCGTTCAGTTTGATTTTCAACAATTTTATTTGCTCTCAAGAAACAAAAAGGTCTTAACAGTCCACAGTCCAATTCTTAAAGCCACAGTCTACCAATTAAATTAGCACCGAATGAATGCCTAGGCATTGCCCTTGCAGTAGATCGTCTTCCAGTTGCTGGGATGGTTGTAGCCAAGGAGGATGGGCAGATGTAGGAACAGTGTGATATGCTCGCCTTGTATCGACGTCGAGACCTTGACCCAGTTGCGCAGCCATTCGATCATCTCCTCGTCGCTGAGATTAACTGGATTGAGGCCACGCAAGTAGCAGGAGTACCGCAGCGCATGCATACTTAAATTGTGCACTCCGCCTTCGCGGGTTATGGCCTGGTCCATGTAGTGCACAAGGAAAGCGTGCTCGTGCAGGCGGTGACGCTTAAAGATGCTATTTTGCAGTCCGTGCATATTGACTAGGCTTTTCTAAAACAATACAACAGTGTTTGAATGGTGGATTCTAATGGGTTCATCATCACGGTCTTACAACATGCTTCCGCGACATTCCCAGCAGCGAGTAGGGTCCCTCGACAAAAATATCCTTGACTTCCAGAAGCATCTCCGGCGTTGGATGGGTACCACTTCCCAGCAGGCCCAATATGTTCCTGAACTCTGCGTGTTTGGGGTGTCCAGACAGCGATTTGAGCTTGGCCTGCAGGCAGCGGAAGACAGCTTTGTTGTACTGTAGTCTTTGTTTCATATAGTAATTTTGAAAGTCGGTGCGCTGCTCTGCAGTCCAGAAGTGCGAAGTAAGAAAAACGCGGGGATACCAAAAGCTGCAAAGTAAATCACCTGGCATTATAATCATGTAGCACCCACGCTAATTGGCGAGATCTTACACAAGGGGAAAGAATGCATAGCCAACCATCGGCAGTGAGCAGCCAATTAGGGCCGGTGCAACCTTCATCATGTCCCTCGGCATCATCATGTACAGCTCTAGTTCCTGGCGATTCAGTGCCCTGATCCCTTGCGGCGAGTCATTGGCAATGCGAGAAATTTTTAAGAAGCGCTTCATGTCGCTGAAAAAGTCCTTTACGCCATCAAAGAAGACGTGATAGAGCTGCATGGCCTTGGGGAAGTTCTTTTCGAGAACCTTGTCATAGTTCTTCACATAGTTGAAGTAGCGTGTGAATATGTAGTCCTGCATATTATCTCGCATCTGCTCCCGCTTTGACCTGGGCACGTCCTGCTCCTTGGGCTTCTCATGATCAGGCATGTCGCTGGGTGGTAGGGTAGATGCTGTCTTAACCAACTGCTGGCCTTTTGGCGGATCCTTTGGCTTGTTTGCATCCCAGCCCGTCTCGTAGATGACCTTTCCAACGCTGGTTATTTCGGCGGCTACATTTCGCTTAATCGTCGGCGGTGGTGCTTCTCCTCCAGTCGATTTTCCAGAATATTTCCGTTCTGGTGGCAGTGTGCAATATGACTTCGGTTTGTTATCGCTGCCGGTAAATGGGATTTTAATGCTGATTGATAATTGGGGTCAGGAGATTGTTCTAACCTGGAATTGGTGCTGGTAATGTATAGCTGTAACAGTCTCTGCCGATCTTGGGGCCAACTCCCAGCCGAAACTTGGGCAAATCGCGCCGCCACACGCAGTGCCAACGCCATTCTGCAAGCACTACCACTACAAACCGCACACACAAGTGCGTCCAATTACGCAACCGGCAACTCCAATGCAGGAGCTCTCCCGCAACAACGTTATTTTGAAGTATATGCAATATAAATTTCACACGAACATAAGGATTAGAGCTACCAAACCATCGATAAGACTACCGATATACTGCACTTCAGCAATCATTTAAAGACCGTCGATAGTTTTGTTATCATAAGCCTATCTTTTTGAAAATTTGGATGGTAGGATTCTTGAATTTTTCCATTTAAACCGGATTTAATACAGTTTGAATTTGGAAACTGAAGGTTATATGAAGGCATATGATTTCTGTTTATAGCTGTATGACATTAGACTTTGGAAAATTGTCTGCAAAGAGAAAGATGGCACAATAGACATAACATTTTTACATTTGTAGCACTCCAACAACTGAGGCACTATTTGTGAAAAAATATTGTTCTCGAGCCCACCCACCCATCTAGCTAAATGGATTCTGAAAACAGCAACAATTGATAGTCTCAGCCACAGCGCTGCTCCCAAGCTCATCTGGCAAGCCTGGACTGGACGCATATATATATGTCTCGCTCTCACTGCAAGCTTTTTGTATAAAGCTGTCTCTGTTTTTGCAGATTGCAGTTAGCAAAGTCCAGTGTCATACAGCTATTACCATTTTTGCGCGGACTGATTTACACATATCGATATTACATTTTTAGCCCATTAAGGGCCAACGAATCTTGAGGACCTTGAACGCCGAACAGGTGAAAGATATCGGAATAATTATTTTGTTATGTAGAGAGGAAAGATGGATCTATGATTATCATTGTAGAACGGCATTATTTTTCGGGGTTTAGTTGTCCTAAAAAGAAAATTGTATCAAAATGGTACGAGCCGCTTAGGAAAGGCCCATAGTCGGTTAAGACCGGCAGATGTCGCTGCATTAAATAATAGCCGTATGTAGATAGTAGATGTAGTTGCCATGTAGCAGAATGAATTCATTTTTCGAATTTTTGAATTTTCTCGTTAAATATTTTTGCATATAATAATATATTTATTTATACTTCTTCAACTATAAAAAATAGATAAATATTGTTCGAAAGAAGGATCCAATGAGCATCCAACATACGCGATGATATCAATTGTGTCCCGCTAAAAGGGGTGCCCACCTTTAATGTTCTACCATTCGGCCCCACAGAGCGGGATTTTCTCGCACGGAAAATGGCTCGGAAAATTTTGGTTCGTTTGTTTTCGCTCGTCTGTTGCGTCGGTTGTGGGCTTGTGTCGCACGGAAAACTGCGCGGAAATTTGAGCGCTTGCTTTCGCCTCGTACTAGATGCTGGCTGCAGCAGCAACAACAGCAGCAAACAGCAGCGTCAGGACAAATTAAGCAAACTGAGGCCCACGCGCCACGGCCACGGCCAAAACCGTAACTAATCAGCCCCAGACGCTCATTTGAGCCATCAATGGCAGCCAATTTTTGGCCATTTTGCGGCATAAACGGAAACGGAAATGTGCGTTGCTTGTTTAGAAGCGTTACAGGAATGCTATGTTGCCTTAAGGGTGCTTGAGCCTTCGGTGAGTGGGGTGCTTGGAAAGAAGAGAAGACCTTCTGTGGGAAATTATAAAACTTAACGCAGCGCGTGTCCAACTTACTTGACTTTCCACTTCTGTGTGGCAGCCAAGCAGCCAAGGGGCATGGCACGTCAGGCAGAAAGAAGACAAGTCTCTAATGCCATCTGTGGGTACATAAGTACATAAGTATATACTCGCTTTCTTTTTATTTATTTTTTGTGTGTGTGTGTGCGTATGAGTGCTGTTGTATACGCGTGTTTTTTCCGCTTAGCCTTCTGTGGCTCCTTCGGCCGATTTATTTATCTGGGTGCCCCTCACAGGGTATGGGCACGTATAGAGCGATATGTACATATAGCCTGCCAGTCAGCTCGAAAAGCGAGGAGCAGAAGCTTCAGTTACACTATTGACACATGCACAAACACATAACATAGTTAGTTATGTACGAGAGTGTGGCATGGTGCTCTGGCTGCCCTGCCACATGTCGCACAACTTTGGGCGTTTGTTTGCTTCCGCTACCGCTGCCTCCCAGGAGCCAAACTCCCACTGCCATAAAAATAGAAATATCCGTAGCTGGAAGCCATAAATACTCCACAGCACTAGCGAGTAAATTTAATTGAAAATACATACGTCAATACCTCCCTCCACTTCTCGACCAGCAGCCAAACTTGTGGCATGAATAAATGACCAAACCCACTTGGGCCCCCGACAACAAGTTCAAGGTGGTGCCGAACTATGCTCCGCATTAAGCCAGCCGGACTGGCTCTCACGCCCCATTCACAGGGGGATTACATACAGCACCGCCGCATCACAATGGCCAATTTATGGAACTTTCTCTGTCAGTGGTAGTCAATTTAAAATAGATTCCGCTTTATTGAATTGCCCGGCAATGGCAATCCGGATAAGACTGGACTTTATGCATAATTCTGTTTAATGCCTTTCCGTGTTGCTGGGTCATGAAAAAACAATTTGTTCGGATTACACTTCACAGTGCAGAATCTTTGCCATCACTTGGGTCACGAATGGAAGAAACTGTTGGAGATTAAGGACTGGCACAAGCTATAAAATTCGATTTAATGGTTGAGAAATTCTCCTGGGAGCAGGCCATAGATGGGTCTGGTCTACAATAAACTGTCGGATGGCTATAATTCAATTAGTTTCTGTCGGCACCAGTAATTGCGTGGCCCGTTTAACGAACAGCACAAGCCACAGCAATCAATAAGGCCAACACAAATCGACAAATGCCAGGGAGATGGCTAATTGGTCAGTGTCCCGTCAATGTCCCCAGCTTATAAATACCATAAACTAGATCAACGAAAACGATGTCATCAATTAGCATACGTCCTCGGCAGACGTCGAAGCGAGCCCGGGCAGAGGCTTCTCTGCGAAGTGAGGAAAAGGAGTGCCTTGCCTTCGGTGTTGTGGCAGCTTCAAAGTTAATCATACGCACCGTTGAACCGGAGCAAATTGTGCTGCATGCTGTAAATGCAGTGCCAGCAGCAGGCTCACACAAACAGAAACACAGAGAAAAGCGATTGCTAAAGGGAAAGGGAAATCCAATACGACGAAAGCACATCCCCCCTCCCCTCACCGTAAAGCTACAATTTGTTGTCGTCGTCGCGCTTGTTCTCGCAAAGTCGAGAATTGTCTTGGCTCGACCGTGAAATGTGTTGTAACAGGCTTAGGATTATATTCAATTTGTGCCCCAAAAGTGGAACACATGTAAACACAGAAGGCCTGCTGTGATGAAAGGTGTCGGACTTGAGGGGATTTCGTGATGCGGCCTTGGAAGAGGCCAAAAACACACATATGATATGATGATAAAGGAGGAAATGGAAATGGAAATGGGGACTGGGGTAGACATCATTTGGAAACTGACAGCTAGAACCATCAATCAGTTGTGTTCAAAAGGGAAAACATTCCTCATCAAAAGCCAGGAAGCAACGCATAGGTTGGGCGAAGATCCGACTAAGAGCCAGATTAAAATATTAGCTATTATTTTTGACTTTGTACTGCACATAGTATGGTGGAAAATGGAACCAGAGCCTAAGGTAGGTGTGCACGTCTAGCGCGTCACGGCTTCGACCCATCAAAGAAGTCTCATTCTCCGCCCGAATTCCTTAATGGCAGAACCGAATGCTCACCTCTCGGTGGCGAAACGTGGGCGGAAAATGCAAAGCACGCGAAAATGCGTTTAAAAGTGTGCAAAACTTGGGGCGCAACTATTCGAGCCGGTTGCAGAGTGAATGATGAGCGAACTTTGTATGCAAATTCTTGGCGTAGCTTCGTATCCACCGTGCCACCCAACCACCCGACCGGGTGGACGACCCACTCGGCCGTCCTGCCCCGAGTTGCGGTAAATGTGAGTGACAGCCTGGCAGACACCTTGTCAATGGCTTGCGGCTACAAATAGCCCCAGCCTCAACCCCGAGTCGGGGCAGGGCAGGACCTCATACCGGAGACGCCACACAGCGCCAGGGTATGCAAAGTAGCAAACAACAGCCGTAGAACAGTGACGACAACAAGCAAGAACAGTGGCAACAGCCAAGCCAAGTGGCAACAGCGGCAGAGTCTGCTCTTCTGCATACAGCTGACTGACTACACATCTATATTAACGGGTCTCTCTGTGTTTGTGTTTGTGTTTGTGTGTGTGTTGTTGTGAGTGTGGCATGGGGCATGGGGCATGATGGCACAACTTTCACACGATTCCAGCCTTTTGTTTTTTGGGCCTTGACTTCGCCGCGGGCGTTGCTTTAATGAATGTGCAACACTGATGCATTTCTTTGGCGAACTACGGGGCAGAACAAAAACGTGCGGCATACCTTTCGGGGCGACACACAGAACTGTGGAGGCCAGAAGTGGTGGAATTTCCTAGCAAATGGGAAGTGGGAAATGGGAAATGCCATCCAGTCAGGTACAAGTACATGTTTCATGTTTCATTATTTTGGTATTGAAATTCCTTTGAAATTCCAGCGAAAAGACATGCCACTGTTAAAAAAAAACAGGCTACCAAAGTGTCAGGGTAATACCCTGGCGATTCTCTGGCTTCTATGGTAGCTTGGGGAGAGTTATTACAATACAATATCGATCAGATACCAGATACCAGATACTGGTATATAATTACCATATACATTTACAGACTATATACACATGGATGTATAATAATATTCGTCATTAGTGCAAACAGAAGATGTCTGCCAAGGCCAAGATGTCTCCTGGCAGCCGCCAAAAAGAAAGAGCAGAGAAAGCGAAATTGCATTGCATTTACTAGCATCGATGAATACTCCTTAGCTTGTCTTGGACCTACTTACAGGTCTGTGTGTCCGACTTCCTGCTTCGATTGTTGGGGTATTCTCCAAGTAGAATCCAAAGTTGCACAAACTTCTGTGCCAGTGTAGTTCTGAATTGAGTTATTTATATAAATTTGTTGGCATTAGCTGGAAAAAGCTTACCAAGACGAATACATATATGCAAATAGCAAGATAAATTATTCAAAATGCCAATAAAATTGTTACCGCAATTTGGGCCGCAAAATAATGGAATATATATGGACAGCAATTTCCATTGAAACTTTGTGCAATCTGAAATAGTGGCTAATGGAGGGGAAGATAACTTTTGAGAGCTGCTTGCATAGAGTCAATTAAATCACTTGAAAATCGATTGCAAGCCACACCTGCAGTGGCACTATCCGGGCAATCTGTGGCACACTTTTGTGCGCCAGATATGAAGAGGAGAGCAGACACCGACGGAGACTGCATTGTGGTCTACCCCAGGGATTTAGTTAGTTAATTATGTATGCAGGCTGAAAATGTTGCACAAACAATGAGTGAAAGAGCGAAAGGGGGAAAGGGGGAAAGGAAATTGTGCCGCTGGAAGAGGGTGCACAAATAAAGGCTTAAGAAGTTAAGCCAAACAGCTCAAGTATGTGCCACATAAACCATTGAAGCACCCACTCGCACACAAACACACACACACACACACACACAAATACACAGCCCCCGGGCAGGCACCATTCGCTTGGTGCCAAGACAGGGGGCAGGAGCATGATGCCAACGATTTGCCGGCTCAATGCACACAAATACAGACACCGCTTAGGGTGTGGCAGGGCCAGGAGATTGCCACCACGCTTAGATGCTTAGGTGCTTAGGTGCTTGGGGTAGTGGTAGTTGAAGTTTACTCAAATGAAGGATTCTTCAGGGTAGCGGAAAATTGAATTAAGTTTTCATTACGCAAATAACCAGCAGAGCACTTGCCATAACCCGTACGCTTCTGCATTATTTATTGCACTTTGCAGAGACGACCCCAAATTAACAATCATCACATAAATATATAATCAACAAGCGTCCACGTTCACGACCAAGGGAAGCAGAGCCGCCACAGAGGGGGCAGGAGCAGGAGCAGACACAGACTCGGGCAGAGGCAGAGGCACCAGCTGGCGGAACAGCAGACACAGCCAAGAGGAGCAACAGCAGAAGGAGGCCAGTGCCAGCAGGACACAGAAAAGACTCCTTGGCTGGCAGCCAAGAGCAGCTGGCAGCTGGCAGCAGGCAGCAGGCAGCACACCATGTAAACCTCTCTGGGGCCAGAGGGAGAGACAGTCCATGGTGAAGCGATGTGAAAGCTAAACACTTTGCAATATTAAAGAACAGCCAGCGTCGAACAGACCTGTTGCTCATCTCGAACATCCAGTCCGGGTCCAACACCGACACCAGACTCACCATCACAGACACCCAACACCAACCCCAACACCAACAGGCCGAACCCGACCCAGACCCGACTACCAGAGGACCAGAACCCGCATAGGTGTCGAGATGGCCGTCCACGTGCTGGACTATGATCACTTTGCCATCAGCGCCATTGTTGTGGGCAGCCTGCAGCTGTTCTTCTTCCTCATCAACTCCATACTGCACATGGACAAGCTGACGGACTTTGCGGGCGGCGTCAACTTCATTATCATCTCGCTGTTGACCTTCTTTCTGGGCCAAATTGATCGGCCTTCAAAGGTAAGTGCGAAAGCGTACTCTTTTCTGTTCTGTTCTGTTCTGTTATGCTCTGTTCCGTATAAAATTTACGCGCTGCATTTTAAACGTGACCATAAACATGTCACCTCCAGATCTCACTCGCTGGAGGGGTGTGCCGCCCAGAGTGGTTTGGCTTTGGCTTTGGTGGCTCTTGCCGGTCGTTTCAGGCGCTGTTGGCTGACATTGAAAACTGAATTTCGCATACGCACGCAGACACCAGAACATGCAGGAGCACACACACACACACACACACACACACACACACACACACATACAGACACACACAGATACTAGCATCCCCACATACACATCTATTGCCTCAGAAACAAAAGGTTACGCCCAGCAAGGCCCACGCTTCTGCTGTTGTTTCGTTGCTCGTTGCTGTTGCTGTTGCTGTTGCTGTCGTTGTTGCAGCTGTGGCATGACCTTGGCATCGTGAGGGTCCTCCATCTGTCTGTCTGTCTGTCTGTCTGTCTGTGGGCCTAAGCGTCTAACTACCTACAGCTTTGTTTTTGGGAGGGAAGATGGGAGTGATGAGACGTGATGGGCGACAGCTTGAACAGCTATTGCTGTATATTGCACAAATTTCATTAAATCACAAGCACCACATAAAAAAGGGAAAAATGTAATACAAATTCCAAAGAATGTACCATAAAATGCTTATGGACGTAAGTCTTGAGCCAAAGCATTCAGTAGTTCTTGAATTAATTTATACCAAGCCAGGCCAAGCATAACAAGAGATTGAGTGGTTGCATTGAGATATTTCCTTTGAAGGCTGAAAACCACATGCCCAAACCACAGGCCAGGCTTATTTGGGAGCGAACTCCTAAGCTAATTGGTTCGGATTGATGTAGATGTTCGAGATAGTGCCACGCAGCTTTTCGAGCCCCCACTTGAGAGGCACAACTTCCGTCCACTTGGAGCAGGCACCCACGTACAGCTGCATGGCCTTCTGCCTCAACTGTTCCTCCTTAGCGCGCTGGAGGCAAAGGAGATTGCGCTCTCCGTGGGGGCTCACGTTCTGCACGCACTCGGACCAAGGCTTTAGTGCATCAAGAAAGAGCAGACTAAAAGCCACTATATCACTACTATCGAGATACATTAAGTAAAAGCAGAGCTGGATAGGTTCTGGCCCTCCCTTTGACTGCCGCCTGAACGGGCAATTGGTCAGTCAAGCGGATAAGGAGATAAATATTCCGATATACATATGTATGTATGCATAAAAATATATTTTTTAAATTACCTTAAAAGCAGAACCAATATCCTTTCCTCGTTGTTGTGGTAAACTACTCAGGCACACCCTTTTTAAGGAAAACTTTCCCAGTTAACTACGCAATTTGCTTAAATTCCAATTAAAACTTTAACAATAGCATCAGGTATCGGTTCCCACTTTTGGTCACCCACAAAAGTATCGTTTTACCGAATAAACTTGAGAGTCCCGTCAATTTCAATTTGCTACGTAACCACAACCGCAGTGTAGAGCTTTCGGCCAGCAAAGGGAACACAATACGGCATTGAAACATGAGTCCAGCTACAACCCCATCCCGCCGACATTTTGTGCATCCCGTTTCAGGCGCCGTAATGGATTCGACCACGGTCAAACAGAAATGTTCCTTTCCGGACATGAATTATACATTTGTTTGAAATTAATTTTGGTGTTCTCTGTTTCGAATATTGATCGAAAATTAATCATGGCTCTGTCCTGGCTCCATCCAACCGTGTAGACAGAGCTGCCTGGCTGCCTTGCTGCCTTGCTGCCTTGCTGCCTGAGCGCTCGCTTGTCGCCAGGCGGAAGCGGAAGTGGATGTGCTGCCATTGCTGGTGGCTGTTGTTGCTTGTTTTGTCGCTGTTCCTCAAGCAACAGCCGTTATCTGTGCACCCGTGTGTGTGAGGGCCATCAAAATGTTTTATTGCAGTTGTATGCAGCCCAGAGCGCTGCCACTGCCACTGCCACTGCCTTTGCCTCTGGCCCTGGCCCTGCCCCGGCCTGCCTGTCGATGGTTTATCGCTGGGGGGGTCGTTTAATAAATCGAGCGATAAAATGACTGAAAGCCTTGGCTGAAAGGCAGCTCAATCAAACTGAAAATAGACAATCGAGTGAGCGAACTGTCTTCGCAAATGACAAACCCATTAAACTATCAACTTGTGGCAGCCACAATAAACTGCACTGAACGAGAGAGAACGAGGGAGACAGAGATAGATATCCTTGCCCCTGGCCATGGCTATCCCAACGTATACGTGACCTCAGTGAGGGTGGAAGGCGCTTGTGTGTGTGTGTGTGCCTTGGCGGCGGTTATGGCCAAGTGGGCGGGGCTGCCGGCTGCACTTTCACTGTCATTGGCAAAACAATTTAACAATTTTTTTCCTTGTATGCATTTTTCATGAGCCGTTTGACGGCCCTAACCGTCCCGTGCGAGTGTACATTCCTCCTGCTACCGTATTTCTCTGCTCTGCTCTGCTTTGCTCATTCCCACTGTGTGTGTGTGTGGCTGTTGCCATCAATGCCGTTTATAAATATGCAAAGTGCTGCTCGCTGGCAAGCTCGACTCGACTCGACTCATTCATTATTGAACCACACACCATAGCCATAGCCATAGCCATAGCCATAGCCTTGCCCGAAAACCAGCTCCAATCCATCCTAGAGAGCACTTTTGGCCGCCTCCACTGGCGCGTGCTTTTCTCTCTCCCTCTTTATTTATGCAAAATTCGCATGTGGTGTTTTTTTTAAAATAACACATCCGCCCATCCGCCGAACAACTCCTGCAAACAACACTCGTCTCACACACGAAAAAACCAAATAAAATTCGTGCAAATTACTCGTTGGGCAATGAATACCGCATGAGCAGAGGGTATGGATTGCCTGATACCCTGTAGATGGACGTAGAAATAGAGAATAGAATTCAAGACTAGAGACTGCCATCAGCTACATGCCTAACCACAGAAATCTTTACAATATCGGATGGGGGTTCACTTTTGAAAGACATTAAATATATTATATTAAAGGTAAAGGAAATTCGTATATCCCATTTTTATAAGAGTGCTGAAAATAGTTACGAGAGTGCCCAAACTAGCCTTGAACTCGACTTTTTGCCAGGCTATGCCAGGGGATATGTCTTGATTCCAGCCCAGATATCTCAATCTCAATTCTGTTGCTGGATTACCTTTACCATTTAGCCTTGAACTCTAAATTTACCTAGGCTCCATCATCATCAGCTCGCAAGCCCCCGGCCAGCCGCTCTGATTCTCACACAGATATACAGATATACAGATATACAGCCACAAATTTACGGCATTGCGGGTCTGCCCCAATCTGCCTGCCCATCGATTCACACGCAGGGGTTTAATTTTAAGTGCCTCCCCCTGGGTAGCCAGCCGCTCTGATCCACCATGCCGCTACACATTTCCCTTTCCGCAGGCCTACGACAGCCGCCAGCTGATGGTCACGCTCTTTGTGTGCCTGTGGGGCGCCCGGCTATCCGGATATTTGCTGTATCGCATCATCAAGTTGGGCCGCGACAAGCAGTTCGAGGATACCCGACGCAACGTCATACGCTATGCGGTCTTCTGGACCTTTCAGGTGAGTCTGAGTCCCAATGCACCATCCCCAAGGTAAGGCTGTTCTTGCGGGTGCCATGTGGCGGTCAGGGTTTCGGGGACGAAGCGGGGCGAGTTGCGTCAGCCACTTTTCAATTTTGCTTTCAATGACAGAACCTTCAACTTGGAATCCCCCGTCCGTTCGCTGCCCCGAAAATCAATCAAACTGTCACTAATTGACGTGTGCGCAGAGGTTTTTGAATATTTCATATTTCAGCAGTTGTCGACGGGCCAGTGCCAGTGCCAGTGCCAGTCCCAGTCCCCTTCCCCGCCATTCCAGTTGCGTGAAGGAGGATGGAGTGGAGAGTGACCTGACTGCTATGGCAAACCCCGCACCACACGCCACCCCACCCCACCCCACCCAGTCCTAGTCCCAGTTCCAGCAACAATTAAAACAGTTTGTAGCGTGGGGCATGGAAAATGACATGACACATGTGGGCGATGCCTGTTAAACGTTGAGGGTGTCGGGGAGCGGGGAGCGGGGAGCGGGTCGAAGGATCTCAGTGCCTGTGTGCGGGTGACGACTGTCGACTGTCCTTCATTGTGTCTGTCTGTCTGTCTGTCTGCCTGTCTGCCTGTCCGTCTGTCCTGTGGCGCTGGCGGTGGCGTGCTGCATGTGGCATGTCCCGCAATCGTTTTGTCTGAATTTATTTTCCATTCCAGCAGAAATCACTTGTTGATGAAAAGTCACTTAGGAGTAGAGCAAGCGCCTACGAGTATATGGGATGTTGTGTAGCGAGAAAAGTGGTTCTTGATTGACAGATAATCGAAAGATATATACAAGATTGAGGGATCATAGAGGGATCATTATTGCCAATTGAATATTTTATATTCCATGTATTGTTCCCTAGGCCGTTTGGGTGTACATCGTCTCACTGCCAGTGATCATCATCAATTCGCCGCGCCATTCGCAGCCGCATGCACCCAAGACCATGACCACCCTGGACTCCACCGGCACGGGCATGTTCATTGTGGGGCTGCTGGCCGAGACCTATGCGGATCTGCAAAAGTTCTCGTTCCGCCAGGACCCGGCCAATCAGGGAAAGTTCTGCAACGATGGTAAGTGGCCAGAAATCCATCCCATTGCTATTCGAATATTCATTTATTATTAATTCAGGGTTGTGGAGTGTTTCCCGTCATCCGAACTATTTTGGGGAGGTCATCATTTGGTGGGGCATCTTTGCCATCTCCCTGAACGTGATCAGCGGCCATGAGTGGGTGGCCATTGCCTCGCCCATCTTTACCACGCTGATCATACTCTTCCTGTCCGGCATTCCGCTGCGCGAACGTAGCGCCGACGAGAAGTACAAAGAGTGAGTAGAGAGGGGGTTGAGAAATTAATTAATCCTCTAATGGGTCCACCCGACTGCTTGCCCTGCCCTGCAGCCAGCTGGAGTACCGCAAGTACAAGGCCTCCACCTCGCCACTGATCCCCGTGCCACCGGCTGTCTACGTGGAGGTGCCCAGTGCCCTGAAGTTCATCCTCTGCTGCGAGTTCCCCATCTACGACTCGATGAGCATCCAGAAGGACCTCAGCCCCTACTCGCTGTCCATCGCCCGCTCCCACTCGCACATTTAGCAGTCAGTGGCCCACTCCAGCAGCACGCAGGCTGGGGTGGGCCAGGTGCACACCCACTCGGTGGCCCACTCGCTCCACAGGGGCCACTGCTACGGCGCCAATGGGGGGGACGCCGAGAGCCACCACAACTGCGGTGGCAGCTGCCGCAATGTGCACGTCAAGTCCAATCCGTACCAGTGCGAGGCGGGCTACGGCCACTATCCGGTGAAGCACACCGACGACGAGGACACGGACGATGGCATCATCTATATGGCCGGGCCCGGATCGGCACCGGGCTGCTCCAAGGCAAAGACGCACTGCATCCACGCGCAGGAGCATCAAAGCCAGAACCAGAACCAGAACCAGAACCACACGAAGGCAACGAAATGCAGCTATCTGGCAGAGGAGGAGCTGGCCTCCGACTACGATGAGGATGTGCCGGCGATCGACCTGAGCAAGGCCACAAGCGTGGAGAGCTTCGGCACCCGGGTGCAAACAGAACGCTCTGTGAATGCCGATGGCCAGCCCGTGACCGTGACCACGATTTTGTGATTGCAACTATAGGATTATCATTTGCCCAAGAGAGATCCCATTTTTATTACGAGAATATATTGTAAATAGACGGAGCTTTGCATTGTGACGATTGTAGACTCCGTGAAAGTGATTTTGAAAAAAGCATTGCGCCACGAAACGGGTGCCAAAGTACCGGTAAAGGAACAAGGATACCTTCAACCACGCAGCTGTCTAGCACTCTCTAGTCTCTATGCGCTGTAGTTGCTCAAATAACTAATGTGCCTCTTATTATACGAGTATATGCTCTCCGCGTACCCCTAGAATGTTGCACTCTTTCAAAGTTTATGCTACTACTACTACTACTACTACTACCACTACTACTAGTCTTTGTTGAACTCTTGATAGTCAGGGCCCTGTGGCCCATAGATGATCTCCTGATGGTCTGCTCAAGAGTATACATACATATATCTTAGCTGCATATTTTCTTATCGAACCGCAACTCTCGCCCCACCAAAATAAACGAAACTCGAAACCAACCAAAACCAAACTGAAACATATCCCAAGTATATGGCAAAGATGTGAGGCAGAAACAACACGCTAGAATGGGTTCTAAAGCCATTGTTATTTTATATACAAGAATACGAGTATCTACTAGCTAAAGATGTATAAGATGAAGATTTAAAGATATATATATTGTATATTGTATATTGTATGTGGATGTTATCACTATGTGTCTGTGTCTCGCCGGTGTCTCAAATTTCAAGCAGTATTACAAAACAAAACGAAAGAAATTGTACCTAATCGATTATGCTGAGTATGGTTAAAAAATAAACAAAATGCAAGGAACAATGCGTACACCTGCGGATTGGATGGTTTTGATGGGTGTACAATAATCAGTCTGCAACGGTGCGATCTCATCTGCTCTTTCTGAGACCACTTTCTTTTGTAAAAACACTGCATAGATGGTGATTTTTTCGATGATTCAACGCAGGACAGCTGTAGTTCTTAAACATTTCCAACATACATATGGTTACAAATTGGGATCTAGTCTCCTTTTTAATGGCGTCATCAGAAAAGGCTTTGGAAAACCCCTCTTCCCCTTGTGTCATGAACTATTCGTTGCTCTACAAAAAATTATTCAGTTCCCGTTAACAAATAGTCGAGTCAACAGCTAAAATCGAAATCAAAATTTTTTGTTCTAGTTAAGCAAATTTTCAGTTTTAGTAATTTAATATTTGTTTTTTTTTTCCAAAAATTGTTGTGTGTTTGATGATTGGCATGTGTGCTCGCAGGCTCGGTGCAATGTTCGGAGTGTCGCGGAGTCTGCTTGTCAGGATCATCAGACAGCCGGTTGTCCGATGGCAGCATGCCAACACCGTGCTGAGGCGTTCGTACGCCTCGCAGGCCATCAACCAGATGCTGCAGCTGCAACAGATGGACATCTGTGCGGATCAGCCCTCGCGCGGCTTAGTGATCGGTGTCTTCGCGGATGAGGAGGACAAGAACGATGCCGGCATCCTGACCCCGGCCGGTTGGCGGTACAACGTGACCAAGACCAACGGCCGCCTCATCCAGGTCCTGCGTATGTCCGGACCCATGCCCAAGCGGGGCGAGGCCCGTCTGCTCTTCGCGATCGAGCCAGAGCGCATCCCCTACTACTCTGTGGTGGCTGTGGTCGGCCTCGGCAAGGAGTGCCTCGGGTACAATCCCTACGAGGTGCTCGACGAGCAGAAGGAGGCGATCCGTCGCTCTGTGGCCGCCGCCTGCCGCATCCTGGCCGAGCTGGACACCGACAGAATCGAAGTTGAAAACTGCGGCCACGCCGAGTCCGCCGCCGAGGGGGCCGCGTTGGGCATCTGGGCCTATCAAGAGCTGCGAGACCCCAAGCAACGCGTCTCCGTACCGTCCATTGATTTGTTTGCCACCCCAGATGATATTTGCGACATCGAAGGATGGCGCATTGGTCTGCAGAAGGCAGCCGCCCAGAACCTGACGCGGCAGCTGCAGGAGATGCCCTCCAACCTGCTCACACCCACAGCCTTTGCGCAGAATGTCGTCGAGGTGCTGTGCAAGTCCGGTGTCAATGTGGAGGTCAAGGTCGAGGGCTGGGCCGAGAGCCAGTCGATGCACGCCTTCCTGGCTGTGGGCAAGGCCTCGTGCGAGCCACCCATCTTCTTGGAGCTGAGTTACTACGGCACCTGTGCCGAGGAGCGTCCCATTGTACTGGTGGGCCAAGGCGTGACTTACGATGCCGGTGGCTTATGCCTGAAGAGACGCAAAGAACTGTACAACATGCGTGGCGACATGACCGGAGCAGCAGTCGTCGTAGCCACCTGTCGAGCCGTGGCCAGTCTCCGTTTACCCGTAAGTGGAAAGGTTTTTTGTCTCCCGATTGACGATTATTTTTGATTGTCCTTGTTTAGGTCAACATCCGTGGTCTGATACCTCTGTGTGAAAACGTTGTTGGCTGCAATTCGTTTCGTCCCGGGGACATGGTCAAGTCAATGAACGGCAAGACCATCGAGATCCAATGCACCGATCACGAGGATGTACTGGTCCTGGCAGATGCCCTGCTTTATGCGCAAAACTTCTGTCCCAAGTGCATCATTGACGTCGGCACCTGCTCGGGCTACATGCGTCAGTCCCTGGACGAAGCAGCCGCCGGAGTGTTCACAAACTCGGAGATCCTGTGGCAGCAGATCAAGCACGCCAGCATGCACACCGGAGACCGCGTGTGGCGCTTCCCGTTGTGGAACTACTACAGCAAGGCAGTGCGTGCCGGATCCCGCAGCGATGTCCAGAACTACGGCATTGGCCGAGGTGGACGTCCCTGCAAGGCCGCTGCCTTCCTGCGTGAGTTCGTTCCCTGCGGCCAGTGGATGCACATTGTGAGTATAGGAGTATCTCCCACTCGGTGGTGGATTGTCTAATGGCAATTCTCGTTTCAGGATGCCACGAACGTGATGGTCACCAACGGCATCGACTTTGAGTATCTTCGCCGTGGCATGGCTGGCCGTCCGACCCGCACCCTGGTCGAGTTTATTGCCCAGACCATCTGCAAGGACACCGCCCCGAAGTTGGGCAAGTAGTAAACTCTTCCAGACGTAATGAAGATATGCCAGTCCCAATAGTCAGTCCCACAAAGCACTCCGCATGCCGTCATCATAAATATTTCGGCGACAATGTTAATGAACATGTTTACAAATTGTTGGTATTTTCAAGGAATTGGTTTTTGGAATTAATGATGCAGTATCGAAACTTTAAAGTAATCATTTAGTCACGGCACTTTTTAACGGCAATGCCTTATTGTAAAATTCAAGTTTATTTTTCGCTGAAAATTTTAAAAGTTAGGCGTATGCCAAATAAATTGTACTCTTTAACGTTTTGATTTTAAAAACCTTTCTTTTTTATCACCCACTTATACAAAAAAGATTATTTAACGAGCGGGAACGAAGTTAACTCTGAATTATGCTCGCACTTGTCATGAGATAGGAGAGTGGAGTGTTTCTCCCTCTCTCTCTTTCTTACACACAAGCCCGCCGTTCTATCTCGCTTCCCTCCGCCAGAGCGAACACACTGCACGAGAAAGAGTGTGTGAGATGGATAGAGAGATCGAGAGAGAATGAGTAAGCGCGTGGAAGGCGATTTGGTCATTATGGCTATAATAACGATCCGATCTCATCCACATTTGACAGTCTAGTAAATATGGCGTTCTCTACGATTCTGCGTTAATTGTGAATGCCACAGATTTTTGGTCTTTGCGGGGGCGGACGGGTCCAGGTGTCTGGATATACAATTTGGTTGCTCTAGCTTTCATGGTCTCTGATATGTAGGTGCTCATCAAGGACGCTCATAGATCCAAAGCCACACATATTCGAGTACCATGGCCCTTCAGGAGTTCATGATTTGTTAGCCCCATTTGTCAAAGATATACATACATATGTACATTATATGTTTACTCCTCCGAGGACAGCCAAACCAAAACAGTAGTGAGTGAAGGGCCGATGTCCGCTCGTTTTTAGATACTGATCCTTTCGAATTTCCTGAATGTACCGACCAAAAACCCCCTAAAGTGAGTGTCACTTTCTTATGGCCTCAATTTTGCATTCTCTATTGCTAGAAATTGAAAACGAAATACGTATACGGAATATTCTGGTATATTGGTATATTTGGTACTTTGTGTAGGGCTTAACGAAAAATGATGCTTGGCGTTGTACGTCGGCTGGTCTCCCAGGCCTTCCGGCAGCGCCTGCGACCAGGTCCCCAGGCTATCCAGCGCCGCTCCGCCTCGCAGGCGGTAAACCAGATGTTGCAGCTCCAGCAGATGGATATGTGTGCGGGTCCTCCATCGCGCGGGCTTGTGGTCGGCGTGTTCGCCGACGAAACGGACCGCAATGATGCTGGCGTCCTCACCGCGGCCGGTTGGCGGTACAATGTCCAGAAGACTGCCGGCCGATTGTTAGAGGTCCTCCGCATGTCCGGACCCATGCCCAAGCGGGGCGAGGCTCGCCTTTTCTTTGCGATCGAGCCAGAGCGCATCCCCTATTACTCTGTGGTGGCTGTGGTCGGCCTCGGCAAGGAGTGTCTCGGCTACAATCCCTACGAGGTGCTCGACGAACAGAAGGAGGCGATCCGTCGCTCCGTGGCCGCCGCCTGCCGTATCCTGGCCGAGCTGGACACCGACAGAATCGAAGTTGAAAACTGCGGCCACGCCGAGTCCACCGCCGAGGGGGCCGCATTGGGCATCTGGCTCTACCAGGAGCTGCGCAACCCACAGAACAGGATTCCAGTGCGTCGCTGGACTTATACGCAAGAAAAGACGAGTTCTGCGACCTCGAAGGATGGCGCATTGGTCTGCAGTAGGCAGCCGCCCAGAACCTGACGAGACAGCTGCAGGAGATGCCCTCCAACCTCCTCCAACCTTTATGTCAATAGGTGGATAGTTTTGCACCAGCTTCACATTCGAGGCAGTCGTTCTCCAAAATTGCTTCCCTTAAAATTTTATAAATCAGTAAATACATCAGAATATGTAAATGAATCAGTTGAAAGTCAGCGCATGCTTACAATATAATGGAACAGCAAATTTTGATGAGAAAATTAAAGCGCTGCTCGTCCGAGAATACCGAATCCCAAATTCGCAGCACATCGGGCAGTGGAAACTCCTGCGAGAGCAGGAGGGTGAGCCACCTGAAGCTGTAGTACTGTGTAATAAATGTGTTCCAGGCGCTTTCAGGCCAACGCCCCTTGAATCAACAGCGACGTCCCCGTCCCCGTCGCCTTCTCCAGCTCCATTGCAGCTGTGTCCCGGGGGGAGTACCAATTCCTCGATGAACTGCTTGTACAGGGCTCGCTTCTGGGCCAGCATGGTCGTCCAACTGCTGCGCCTTGGTCCCAAGTAGCCCAACAGCAGTTTCCAGCTGAGTGCACGGAAGCTTTGTACATTGGGCACACCTGTAGATTGGATTGGATTCATGTCCATGAATTGCTACGCCTATCAGAAGTGTGCTATCCCACCATTAAACGTCAGTCTGCGCAGCTCCTTTAGGTCAACCACATCCTGGGCCAGCGCATCATCGAACTCTTTTACACTGAAAGTTACAGAGCCCGACCCGAACACTGGTGGAGTTTATTGCTCAGACGATTTGCAAGGATACGGCCCCACGTTTGGCCAAGTAATCAATCTCTAACGGGAATCCAATGTTATATATATTTTTTACTGTGTTTTTTGACGAGCTTTTTTGACACTTGAGCTATGATCACTCTATGTTACATATGTTTTCGCATTTTTAATCTCCACACAAACACATGCGGCACATTCGTTTATTATGAAATTTTAACGTATAAAACAGAGAAACAGCGCTAGTGTTCGATCTTTTGTTGGGTCCTGGGCTTCGAACTATTGAAAATGATAGCCAGACACTGTGGATTATTGCTTTGTCAGACTCTACCCGGAATCGGGTATTATATGTAATATCTGTGGTATCACTAAAAGTGAGTGCTACGTCAGGGAGACTGCATGAGTAATCACAACGTTTATGTCAATGGGTGGATAGTTTTGCAGCAGCTTCACATTCGAGGCAAAGTCGTTCTCCAAAATTGCTTCCCTTTGGATTCTATAAATCAGTAAATACATCAGTAAATGCAAATGAATCAGCGAAGTTGAAAGTCAGCGCATGCTTACAATATCATGGAACAGCAGATTTTGATGAGAAAATTAAAGCGCTGCTCGTCCGAGAATACCGAATCCCAAATTCGCAGCACATCGGGCAGTGGAAACTCCTGCGAGAGCAGGAGGGTGAGCCACCTGAAGCTGTAGTACTGCGGATGCAGCTCTTGGCTCTTCAGATGCTCGTAGATGTCTATATCTTTAGTCTTCAGCATGTTAGATAGCAGGCCCATCATGAACTTTATGCCACCCTCCGCATCGTCCAGAGTCTTGATGAAGAAGTCGCGTATCTCGCTCATTAGAGCCGTGAAGCAGAAGAAACAGTCTGCCTCCGCGTGGGCGCGGTACGAGAGATCCGGATCCGAGGCCATCACATAGTAGATGGGTCCGACAATCTCATTCATGCCCTGTACGTAACCCTGGCCAGGATTCAGCTTGGCGTAGATGAATAGGATGCGCTGCACAACCTCCCAGTGGGCCTCCTGGCCGTCCTCCATGGCGGCATAGGTCTCCACCGAACGCTTTGTGATTAAATTGATCTGATTGGGAGCAAAGAGGCTCATTAAATCGAGTGTCGCTTCAGTGGGGGTCACTTACTTGCTGCTAAACGTCCACAATGGTATGCATAATGGAACAAACTTTGAGCTTATTTTCTAGCACAATTTCCGACCGAAACTCACCTTGGTCATGCCCAAGCCCTTGCGCTCGACGTTCGCCGAGCTGAGCACCGTGGGCACTACCCGTTCGTGAAGCCGCCGCCCGTGCTCGCCTTTACTGTGCACCACAATGTCACAGGGATACTCTGTGGGCTGTTGAAAGAATGAGATGTCGGGACACAGGCGCCTCACATCTTTGTCGATCTGCAGCAGAAATTCGTTGTCATTGAAGAATGTGTTCCAGGCGCTTTCAGGCCCCTCGCTAAGCGGATGATCTTGTAGGCCAACGCCCCTTGAATCAACAGCGACGTCCCCGTCCCCGTCGCCTTCTCCAGCTCCATTGCAGCTGTGTCCCGGGGGGAGCACCAATTCCTCAATGAACTGCTTGTACAGGGCTCGCTTCTGGGCCAGCGTGGTCGTCCAACTGCTGCGCCTTGGTCCCAAGTAGCCCAACAGCAGTTTCCAGCTGAGTGCACGGAAGCTTTGTACATCGGGCACACCTGTGGATTGGATTGGATTGGATTCATGTCCATGAATTGCTACGCCTATCAGAAGTGTGATATCCCACCATTAAACGTCAGTCTGCGCAGCTCCTTTAGGTCAACCACATCCTGGGCCAGCGCATCATCGAACTCTTTTACACTGAAAGATACAGGGGGGGATAACAATCTTTTGTTCTTAATTCCCGAAAACAAATCACATTTTTGTGTCGTCCATACCGCGCCTTGAAAATAGACATGCTTTGGCTGTATGCGGGCGTGGATCTCGGTCTGCTCCATGCAGGGACAGTCGCGTTGCAATGATGTGGACTGGACGTATATTATTGCTTTGTTGTCATCCAGCCAGCTGCATTATTGCTTTTTCCAATACAGTTCGAAGCAGAAACAATTTTGATATTCCGTCGAATATTTTTAGATATCTAGATCTCTCAGCCCTGCCCACATAGTTTTATCCGATTAATGAATCAATTTTCTACTTAACTGTCTTGTTTTAAATACTTGACTTTGATTGTTTTTGCCTCAATTTTGGTTCCTCAACAACAATATATGTAGCTGAAAACCCGCACTTAGCCCTCTTAAGCCCCCTCTATTTAAATAGTTCAAATACTGGAGGTAAATGACGGAAAATATTAACGATTGTAAATTCTTCTTGTAGACTCATGCCATCTTTCCTCTGAACTTAAAAAAAAACACTATATCTTTCACCTGAACTGCGCTAACATTAATAAATTTTCATTATTTTCGGGGGAAAATTTAAATATCCCCTTGGCTTATAATAGGTTAATCGGAGCATCCAAGGATTGGAAACTATATTGCTCAATTTTGATATTCCGTTGAATAATGTTGAGTAACTAAGACTTATAGCTCTGCCCATATAATTTTAGACCATTGATGAATACATTTTCTACAAGATTGGCTATTTTTAAGTACTCCCATGTATCGTATTTTGACTGCAGCAAGGTTTAAACAAAAAAGGTAAACAAAAAAAGCAAAAAAGTGACAACGTAAGTGATTATAGAATGCGCCGTAAGTGTTTCTGTACAGGTATACCCTATTTCGTTAATATAATATGAAGAAACTGTTTCAAGCTGTTTTGAAACGTGATTAACAATGAAATTATCTCAAATTGTTATGTTTTAGACATTTGGTTAGGGTCTTGTAAATATACATATCTCGATCCCGATACCCATTCTTGGTTTCTGTAAATAGACCACTACCTTCAAAATATCGTTGTGATAGCTTTAAAACAAAGAGTGACAAGTTTCTGCATTAATTAGTGCATTAGATGACAAACATTTTCTCAATTCTATAATATCATTTTCTAGGGTATGCAATGTTGCTTGCATGTTGCCGCAACATGGAACGTGATTTTTGCTCTCGGCCAATGAAAGTGTTGAAAGTGAATGAGCGAAAAGGATATAAATGCAATCTATTGGAATAAATGACACACGAAGTACGATTACTGAGCGAAAATTCAAAAAACCTGCGTATGGAAGTTTCTATACGGTTTGTACCTTTGAAAACCAGGGGTGCGTTTTTTTGGGAGCATTTAACGTTGCCAGATAGAGAGAAATTGCTCATATTTTCTTCGTCCGATAGTTCCGGCAGTGCTGCCACATCGCTCGCAGCACCAATGGCGGTGGCATTTGAAATATATTTTTGAATATTAAATGGCTATACTCCTCACACTCACGTCACAGGGTGTCTGGATAATTGCTTTGTGCAGTGTTTAAGCACTGCATTTGAGGGCAGTGGCATTGAGCACAGTTGTTAGTTCTCATTCATTCATAATTCCATTGCATTTATTCTTTTCACATGCCTTTCGCATGATGAACACTTGGTTTGCGCTCATTTGTTCGTCTATTTCGTGCTTTTTTGTTTGTTTTAGATTTTTGCCTTTTGCTTGGCGCACCGCACATAGTACACACATATACGGAGCCGCGAGCAGACGCATTGACGACTGGCAGGCAGTATTCTAGAATTGAGAACATTTTTGAATGTGTTTGCATGATTTTTGCTCAGCGTTTCTTTTGTTTACGCTAGTCGCTGGCCAGCAATGACGCCCAGCAGATCATCAGCAGGTTTCGCGTCATACAGGCGACCGGCTTTCTGGAAGGTGCCCAGTTACGTCCATGAGATCTATACCCAATCCACGCCCACTCTAGCTGTACAGCCGCCAGCTGTGGTACTGCCGCCCCCATGTCGCCTGACGCCGCAGCGTCGCCGCAGCAGCACCAGCGGCCTCAAGAAGCGGGTTCACTTCGCCGATGAGCCAAACATTGGGGTAAGTCCTCGTCATCCCCCAACCACCCTAAATACCACAATGAACTCGTATATGGCTTGTCAATCATCAGTGGGGTAGGGGTGTGTTTGTCTGTGTCTCTGTCTCTGTCTCTGTCTGTGCCTCTGTCTGTGGGTGGCCCCAATTCTTATTCCCACCAGCTCGTGTCACAAATCAGTTCAATAACACTTTTGCCCCTGGCGGCTCGTAAATTTGTCACGCAAAATTTAATTAATTGGCCACTGCTGCAGTTTTTGACCAAGTAAAAAAAAGGGGGCCAAGCAGAACCCACAGAAAATCAGACCCAGATCGAGAGATGGATGGATGGAATTTATGTATGTCCATTAGCATGAAATTGATGAAATATTCGCTGCACCAACAGAACCAATATTTTCGGATGGAATATGTACATACTCGTATCCGTGAAGCGACCTCAAAGTCTTACAAAATCATCGCCGAAATTCCAATCGAAAACAATTCAAACCGCAAATAGTAAAAACATTTCAAAACCTCAGCCAAAAAAGCGCCGAAAACAGAATAAATAAAGTGCAAAAATAAAATGCCGAACCATATATTGTGTATATCCGCAGCCAGGGCACTGGGAAAACGGAATACGACGGGCAGGAAAATGATTTTTCCGTTGTAAGAAGTAAAATACTTGCCAAAAATGAGCAAACGGAATGTTTCTAGGTCCCCCAAAGAACACAGCTGTCGAGAAACATACGGGGCGGCCTTCAATCCAGCGACCATAGACCCTTGCACATTGCGCATACGTCACGTGGTGCGTTTACTTTTTATCCACTGCAATCATTTGATCTTATCCGATTTTTGAGGAAAAATCCGGAATCAGTCACCGTATTGCTGCTGATGATGATCCCTCTGTATTTAGATCAGCTTTTCATCATCGAGGCAGTAAATAAATTTAATTACACTCTCTCCTCACTCAGTTGCCTCATCCGCCGCACAGAAAAAGATACAGATACAATAATAAAAGTGCTGAAAACCAGATGCCCAGACATTTGATTTTTTTTCGTGGCAACATCAGCGGCAGCAAGATCATCAAAATGTGCGCTCCGAATGATGACATGTGGCATTCATTTCATTCAGGGTCGGCTTGCAACTGGATCAAGTGCTGGCTGCTGCCCCTGCCCCTGCCCCGCCCTAAAATGTGGCACGGCACAAGAAATGTGCAAGAAATGTCGAGAGCCCAAGAAAGTTTAAATAATGTGAACAATAAGGAAAATAAATGTGCTCTGCTGGCTGAATTTTGGATACTCTTTACAGGCAGGAAGCACCCAATATAAGAACTGGTTCAATCTCCTCCCTGCTCTGCCTCAATTTTCTGTACTGTACTGTTTTTTGTTTTTGGATTTTTAGGACCGAAAAGTAAGTCTTTTGTGCGCCTTGCCAAAGAATAGGCAGCCGTGGCACCGGGGCTCTGTCATAGGACAGGACACCGTTCGGGATCATTTCCCTTTATCTTCTCCTTTAGAATGGAGTCTATGAAATTCGATTCCCTATGGAGCATAGTCTACTTTCTAGAGTACACAAAAATACACCTGGCTATCGTTGAACAGAAAGGGAACGAAGAACCCAAAGAAAGGTAAATAAAGTGCTTTCTCAAGTGCGTCACAATCGGATCAACAAAAGTTCAGCACTCTCCGCGCGAAAAACCCCCTCGCTTAATGATTAAGAATAAGGAGGAATCGCCAATTGAATTCATGTTTCTCGGGATGTAGTCGTCGTCGGGGTTGCCGGTGAATGTGAATACGACGACGACGACGACGAGTGTGGGTTCTACGATGCTACGATTCTACGATTTTACGAGTACATATGTTCAATATACTCGCACATACATTACACTTGTACATTTGTGGCGCACTGTATTCGTGGTATACCACGATCTGCTGCTTCTGGTTCTGTGTCTGCTGCTACTGCTGCTGCTGCTGCTGCTGCAAAAAGGAATACGAATTGTATTTTAAAATTAGTACTTGAGCAGCATTGCGATCGAACAAAACGCTTAACGGACTGCAATATCGCGCCGCAAGCGCCTCGGGCCGACACACAATTGGCCAAGAAAAATAAACAGTTTTCAAGAAACAGAAAAATAGCCAAAGTCGAGAGTGGAATCGGTCGCATGAACCATTGAACCACCATTGATCCAGCTCCACGGCGAGAGACAACACCTACAACAGGATGAGCCCAAAGCTGCACGAGTTCGCGGTGCTGCTGTTCCGCGACGGCCAGGGCACGCCCTGGGGCATTCGTCTGGTTGGTGGCAATGATCTGGACACGCCGTTGATCATCACCAGGGTAATGCTTATGTAACCAGAGAAGGTTCTGCTGTTCGTCTGCCTGTTCGTCCGTCTGTCGTCCGTCTGTGGCCCGCTCTCATTCATCAAAATGATGCAGAGCAGAAGCCGCTTGCCAAACCGATTTGGCCTTTGTGCTCCTCCTCCGTATGCTCTACGCCGTACTACGGCGTTCTACGGCGTACTCTGTGCTGTGCCGTGCAGTGCCCGAGCAAACCACAACAAATCAAAATAGCGAAATGGCGAAACTGGCACAGCGAGAGCCATCCGCCATCCGCCATTCGACGTTGCAACGTTGCAACGTTTGCCAAAACGCGACGCCAGTAAAACTAATTGAGGCGCATCCAAATAGACCAAACCAAATATTCCTCCCCCCGGCCCCTGAGTCTCAGTCGCAGTCGCAAACCCATCTAAAAACAATGTATACACAATCATAATCTGCTCAGATACAGACGTATATATACATACGTACATAAGTGCCATATCTATGTCAAGGCTTCTGTAGATCAGGAATGACCTTCCTCCTTGGTTGCAGGTGCAAGCTGGCAGCCCCTCGCATGGGGAACTGCTGCGTGGCGACATCATCGCCAAGATCGGCGAGTACGATGCACGCGACCTGAGTCACGCGGACGCCCAACAGCTGTTCCGCGGTGCTGGCAATGAGATCCGACTGGTCGTGCACAGGTGAGAGGAGCATCCATCCATCCATCCATCCATCCACCTCATCCTTATATAACTCTTCTCGTGTCTCTTCTCAGGGACAACAAAATCGCATACACGCAGGGCGTCAGTCAGGAGGCA